TTTTTTGACTCAGTTAGTCACCATCGGATACCAGAAACTTTTTGAAGTATTATGTTGGCAATTGCTGGCATAATTAGTGTGAACTGCAATTCATCATCGCACAATGCATAGTTTTAGTAGCTTGATTCTGCTCTGTTCAGGTTAATGCTTTGGTTTGCTTGAAGTCCTGTATATGGTGTTTTCTCTGCTGCTTGACTGTTTTGTTGCTTCATTAAATTCAGTAGTCAAACAGAAGTTACATACTTCTGTATTTGTGTGTTCGGTTTATGTTCTGATTGACATACGAACACATGGCGACGAGATGTTTGAAGTGCATTCTGAAATTATAAGGGAAGTGGTTGATTCTCCCGCTAGTGCAATGTGTAAACTGGGATGTTTCTGGTTGTACTTAATATTGCATGAACTAATTTTGTTCCGATCAGCTTACAGTTTTAAGATTCGTACTAAATTGCCAAGAATGGTTGAAGTGAAATCATCAAACGATCATACACTGTTGTCAGACTTTCTGCTTATTTTTTATTACTCTAAAGTATCTTCAGCAGATGGTCATTATTTGCAGGAACTGTGGTCGATGTTGGAGTTCATGATGCCTGATATTTTTGAAACTGGGGATGTGGACTTGAAAAAGTTGTTAAATGCAGAAGATAGTGATTTAGTTGGTAGAATGAAGTCCATTTTAGGACCATTCATCTTAAGACGGTTGAAATCAGATGTGATGCAGCAACTTGTTCCAAAGATGCAAAAGGTATACGAGTTGTCTGATAAGCTAATTTGGCTTCACTTAATTTTTTTAATTGATAATCTTAGTTTCTGTTCCTCAGTTAGGATTATATTAGTTCTTCTGTTCCTATAAAAATATAAAGGGGATCTCGACCTTGTTATAGATTGAGTATGTTCGCATGGGAAAAGAGCAACAAGATGCTTATAAAGAAGCGATTGAGAATTATCGTGCTTCATCACAAGCTCGTATTATGAAGTCTTCAGAAAATTGTCTAAATGATGTGGCTAGAATCTTGCCTCGACGTCAAATTTCAAATTATTTTCTTGAATTTCGAAAGGTATACTTTTATTTGTGAAGTTCTTTTGGTGATTAATAACGTAGGTTTATTTGCACAAGTCATTGTTTGTCATTCTTTCAGATAGCAAATCATCCTTTGTTGGTGAGACGTATCTACTCAGATGATGATGTTGTTCGTTTTGCTAAAATGCTGCACCCAAAAGGTGTATTTGGCTTCGAGTGTACTTTGGAACGCGTCATTGAGGAGCTTAAGAGCTATAATGACTTCTCTATTCATCGGGTAATTGGATGTTCGCATTGTGGGATGTGTTTAGGTGTCATTGGGAATATTGATAGTTGTAGCTTGTTGACCTCCTGACTGACCACTCACAATAAGTATAATCTCATGCTCAGTATGTTAATTCTTTAACTACTGTGACAAATAGATTAAATTTAATCTAAATACAAAAACTGAAAACAAAGCTTACTTACTTTTTAGGTTACAAATAATCTAGATATTTTTAAAGCAAGTACAACCCTCATTAGGCCGGCCTATGTGAAAGACAAAAACAAATGTCAGTGGATATTTTTATTTTGAACAAAAAGTGAGCTACTTAACTGGACGAAACATTAGGTAGTTTTTTAAAACCCAATACCTCATTACTTTATACTCTTGAAAATTCCCAGAGAACCAGACTTTTTAACTTTAATATCAATCAATTTAATGGCTATATTTACCAGTGATTAAAAAGGCTTCGCCATGGCTTAAGTCGTGGCACCCATTGGGCGCCTTGAGCACATGTGGTGAAGCGCCCTTGCAAAAGGCGCCGCCAAGGCGAGCGCCTTATGTGTGGCGACCAGATGCGAGGCATGCGCCAAGGCGAGCTGCAGCAATTTGAACAAATTAGGGTTTACGGGCTTATGCTATCATTTCGTGCTTACTCATATTAGGCGAAAACCCTAAATTAACTTGTGCATTTTCCTCTCACGACTGAGGTGATTGGATTCCGGCAACGGACAGATACATGTCTTTTGTTTTGTTTTTGACTTTTCCCCTTTCTCTCTGTAAAGCATTTGTCCCTTCGTTTTTGTGTTGTCTGACTGCTCTTCACTTATATTCGTTGATGGATGCTGCTGGCTTTGCTGCCGCGGGAGATGAAGAGAAAAAAGATTTTATCCAACCCTTGTATATTCAAATGGTAGAAAAATTAAATTACAATAAAAAAATATGTTGCCACACTGATCCAAAATATGTACAGAAAGATGTGTTGAAGGAAAAACTCAAATGTTTTCAGGGCTAGCCAGCCTAATAAGCATTTGTAGTACCTGTGGAAGATCTCAAATACTTTTTCATTTTAGGCGTAAAATAATAAATTGGAACAATGTTGCTACTTTCTTTTATGTTTGATTAATTTATGTTGATTTTGGATTTCTAATGTGTCCTTTTGTTGCACGTGTATTAGCTATTATATGTTTTTACATGCATAACTATGTCATGACTGGTGAATTGTATGATGTATGTCGAATTTCGCATAATGGCTCCTCGCTTCGATAAGGCGAGCGCCTCTCTCACTCCTCACGCCATGCCAAATAGGAAGCTTGTCGCCTCGGCTAGCCACGAGCCTTTTTAATCACTGGTTTTCACACCAGTTGGTAGAGTAGGTCTTGCCTTTGCTTGTTAATCTTGGTCTTCACCAACAACCAGGAGTCACAATGTCACATCTCCAACTGATATATATTCCTTCCTTCTCTTGTTTTGGGTGTGAAGTAGCTTTGAATTATGCATTGCAGCATCATTACTTGTATAATAGATGTAGTTGTAATTGTTTTATGTTTCCGTTTGACCTTCATCAGGTCATTTGATTGAGATGCTTCTTGTATCATGAACACTGACTACTTAGATTCAATTTGACTGCCTATTGCAGCTCTTACTTTACTATGGTGATACTGGTATGAGAGGAATTCTTTCAGATGAACATGTGATGATTTCAGCAAAGTGTCAGGTATGTTTTATCATCTTTACTTCCACTGTGTTCATGTCGTAATAAGCTCGTTTATTAAGTAGGTAATGTTTCTTTTCATTTGCTTAATATTATGGCTATGAGTGGCGTTGACTGTGGCATAGGTATTGGCTGAGCTTCTTCCTAAGCTAAACCGTTGTGGGAGTCGTGTTCTAATTTTTAGCCAATGGACATCTATGCTTGACATATTGGAATGGACTTTGGATGTGATTGGTGTGACCTACAGGCGTCTTGATGGAGGGTAAGTCAAATTCTTCAGGTAGATATAATCTGGCATGTCAATGCTCCTAACGAATATCCCGATGTGAATGAAGAAGAATTGACTGCTTTTTGTGAGTAATAATCAAGAGTTTGGTTTTGTACTTTATTTTTCTACATCAGTTTTTAATAATGTGGTGTCACTTATAATTTACTAAATACTGATTTGTTCTGTATTTAAAGGACTAGTTAAATATCATAATAATTTTCTGCTCTATTTGCTCATTTTTAGCGGATTGAATTTATGTACTGAACAATTATATGATATTTGGAAAAAACGCCTTGTTACTCCAGAAATGATCAAGACTTCCTTTGCAAGGATAGCAATTATGAGTATGGATACCTAATCAATGCAGCCAGGAATCTACTATTACTGTTTGCAGTGTGCTGTTGTATGTAAATCTATTGCTGTTTTAGGATAAAGAAGGTTAAAAGTGAGATCTAACTTTTCTTTATCTTTTGTTATCAATGTACACAAGGTTAAAAGTGAGATCTTACTTTTCTTTATCTTTTGTTATGAATGCAAACAATGGATGATAATCTTGTACTATGTGGAAGAGTTACGGTATGAAAATTACTTTATACTAGCCAGGTAATTTGTTCGTGAAGATGATTGATTCCAATCATTCTATGCTCAAGCTGAGATGATCGCAGAATTAAAAAGTAATACTCAACTGAGGTCTTGATGTTAGATCTAGTACAATGACTCTGATTCCATTTGCCAAACTGGATAATTCATCCTTTCCCCTTTCTGAAGAGTGGATGGAAAATATGCAATAGGGTGCGGGGAATTGCATGTTTCTGGAATTCTCTTGTTTACCCGCCCAAAGAAAGGAAGAATGCCCTGAATTAGACTTAAGACTTATCATCCCTGATTCTACACTTGTGGAAAAGAATAGAAGAAAAACTGTTTCAGGATTCCTGGAAGTTGTTTTGCTTATAATATTAACCATTTATAACTCTGGTCTTTTTGTCCATTGCAAATGGAGCTGGAAGAGTCATTGTTGACAATTCTCCTGGCATAGTGCTAATAATGGACTAGATCAAAATGACTCAATTAAATTCTAGTGCTTCTTCTAATATAGTGAAGTTTCTAGAAAAAAAAAAAAATATCAAACGGCGCAATGCACCTTGGGTCGCTACGGAAACAGCCTCCTTGTATAATTACAAGGGTAAGGTCTGCGTACAACTGACCCCCCGAGACCCCAACCTGTTGGGAATATACTGGGTATGTTGTTGTTGTATAACTCTGGTCTTTATTAAGTTAGCGGAATCAAATATATAAAGAAGCCTAGATTAACTTATATAAGGTTTATGATGATTCTAAAACTTTTCTCTCTACACTTTCACTCTCCCTTCTCTCTTCTTTCAAAAAAAGAGAAGCGCATCCCCTCTTCCTCTCCTCTCAGCCCTTCGGGCCACTGGCGTGGCCGTCACCGGGACCCCTTCCCAGCGGCTGGTTAAGACTGACGGTTAGATGTAGGCTTGAGTTCTGACTCTTCATCAGACCTTGCTAGCTATTAGAATGAGCTGGAGTTTCTAAGTTTGATAGCTTTACATCAGAGGTCTTGTTTCGTCTTCTAGGTGGGTCGACTGAACGCGTGTTGGATTCTGTCTGGTGATACTTGTTCGTAGCAGCTGCGGCTGCTGCCGGCCTAGGGCCTGTGGTTATGATAGTGGTGATGACTTCGTTTGAGGGGGAGACTTTATTTTATTTGTTGTATTTATTTTTTGGCGTATTTTTCAATTTGTTCTTGTGCATGTTTTCGTTTTGTTTTGTTTAGTCTCCATTATTGAGGTGTTACAGTGTCCATTATTGGAGTTTGTCTTCTCTGTGGGAGTCTGGTAGGTTTTGTTTAGTGTTTGTTGCAGTTTTCCTAGAGTCAGCTTTCTTAACTGTTTGATTAAGCTGTCCTCCCTGTTTTTTAGTCCGTAACTTTTTTTTTATTAATATATATCTATCTTTAAATAAAAAATGTTTATGATGAGCTGTTGGGAAGTTTTCTTCGTAGAGCAATTCCTTAGATCACTTCCTACGAGAACCCTTCAAAAGGAAATGTGATGAAGAAAGTAAAATTTGAGAGGTAGATGGTCAACTTATTCGTTTTTTTCCTTATCTACTTAGTTTGGTTTACGTCTATCATTTGGTAGCAGTGTTGGCTGTGGCAGGGCATGATCAGATAGACCACACTAGTGCTTATTGGTAAATGCCGTGTTATATTCAGATTATGCGAATGAGTAGCATGGTTGACAACTTGAATTGTTCGTCCTATGACTAGTTTTAGCTGTGTTCTTATTTAAGCAGAGGTGTTGTTTTTGTTCAGTATTGGAGTAGATGCAGGGATATCCATAATATATATTAATATTGTTAAAATTTGTTATTAGTTTGTGGGTGGCCTTTTGTTTTACATTTTATATTGTTGTCAGTACACAGGTGACTGAGAGACAGACGATTGTCGACTCCTTCAATAAAGACACTTCAATATTTGCATGTTTGTTGTCCACAAGGGCCGGGGGACAGGGATTGAACTTGACTGGGGCGGATACTGTTATAATTCATGACATGGATTTTAATCCCCAGATCGACCGACAGGCTGAAGACCGCTGTCATCGAATTGGACAAACGAGGCCTGTCACAATTTACAGGTTAACTCTTATTTTTCTCTCCGCAATGTTTGTTTCATAGTGGCTGTAGATGGCAATGTGAGATGTAACTTATAAATTAGTCCTGTGGTGCAGTGCAATCATGATAGTGTCACACCTTCTTAGAGGTGTTGACTACCAGATGGTTCTCTAAATCTAAATCTTAAAATTAAAAATATTTCAAAAAGATACCAAAATTATTAAAAAAATCTAGAAAAAATGGAAGTCCTAGACCTAGAAACGTAACTGTAGTATATCCCTGGAGTTTAAAAGTCAGTCAGGTACTGACTTGCAGGATGTCTTGCTAGATTTGAAGTCCTTAGTTCTGCATTCGCTCCCTATAAGATCATATAGAGCTGTTTTATAGAATGGTACTTTTACTGGATTGAAACCCTTATAGTTTTTGTGCCATAACTTTGTAAGCCTAATATCGAGAAATTGAGCAACACAAGCCCCCATTGGAGTCAAATGGTGCATTTTTAGTCCAAAAATTGTTAAGAAGTCTCATGGGACTAAAATGTGCAAAACAAGAAAGTAGTGGGGACCAAAAATACAATTCTCTCAACAATTATGAGCGTTTGTGGTGATGGATATGGTTCCAAGCGCTAAAGTTTTATGCCCATAATTGTGATGTCATTAGCACGGGTCAAACTCCTTGGAAACATCGTGCAGACTGTCTTGTAAGGGCAAGAAAAGTTCTCATGTGAGATTGTATTTTTATTTGCATGTCATAGTAAACATATTAGGATTGGCTGATCCAGATTCCCAGTAATACTTGACAAATGAATAACTTGATAAACTTACATCGGGGGAATAATTCCTCAGAGCATGTCTTTATTCGCGTATTTGGTGCTTTTGTATATGTGGTACTTGATCTGATTTAGACAATGATTGAAAACCTAATAATTTCGTATATTCCAAGGCTGGTGACAAAGGATACGGTTGATGAGAATGTTTACGAGATAGCCAAAAGGAAGCTAAATTTGGATGCTGCTGTGTTGAAGTCTGGAGTAGAAGTTGAGAATGATGGTGAGATGCCTGACAAAACTATGGCCGAGATTTTATCATCATTGTTGTTGCATTAACCTTTTTGGGACAGCAATATATTGCTGGTTATAAATTTAAAGTTCAGCTCTAGTGCTGTTTTATTAGTTCAAATACTATTTTTGTTGAATTTGTGACCGTTTATGGATTTTGGCAAAATCGGTTTTGTGTTTAGAAATAGTTGCTTTTCTGCCGATGATTTTTGAGGAATTATAACCTACTAAATTCGGCCTAACCATGCATGCTACCTAAATTTTGAAATTAAGCCCTTTAACCTTTAAAATTCGAAATTTCACTTTGTATGCGTGCATGGCATCAATTCTATACATGAGAAATCCTAAATTATCAAGTTAAAGCTAGGAAAAATAGATGGCACGAGCTAACCTTTCCTTAAAACCGAAATAGTGCCAAGGTGAACTTGCTCGGATCTACTCGGGGCTAGGAGTCCTTAAGTTCGACTTGGGGGTTAAATACTGAGAATGAGGGACTCTATGAACTTATAAAAATCCAAGAAACTTTTGGAAGATGATAAGTTACAAGAGTACACGACTGGAGCAAGTAAAACTCGCGGCTTCCTCCCTTGTTCCCTCTCGCGCGCGCGTGAATGGCCTAAGGCCTTGTGCTCGGTTTGCTTGCTATTTCCTCTCAATTTGTTGAAGTTTTCTAAGTGTCCAAGAGCCTTAACACTCATCTGGAAGTGAGGTATATATGGGAGCTGATGGGCGGAGCAAACAAGGTCCAAAAGAGGGGGACATGCACCACACATGCGCATTGGAGTTGGGGTGGTCTTGTGTGGGGACTTGGACTTATTTGCACAAGTTAAGAGGGCATCTAGCAGAGCACAAATGCTGAGAATGGAGGTCTGGTCAGCTCTGGACGTTCCCAAGGTAAGTGGGAGACAAGGTATGACACAAGGCATTATTTTAATCCAAGTACATGCTCCATTATACCTTAATCATGGTTTGACCTTCCTTAAACATTGTTAAGGCAAACTTAAGCTCCATTACCTCCTCTTAACGCCCAGAATACTCGCATGACTTGGGCCATAGGATTGGGCTCGAAATTTTCATGCATTGGGCTAAGGATGATGGGCTGGCGCAAGGCTAGGCGCGGCCTGCTGGCTGGGCGTGAGAGGGCTAGATGCGCGGCCTGCTGGGCTGGATAGTGCCACATACTTGGGCCGAATATAATACCAAGGCATGGCTGATATATGGCTGGACTTAGGAGTTCCAACACTTAGAAAAATTTTCCATAAGTGTTCGACTATGAACTCATGCCATGGCTCGGCATTTGGGGCACTCGCACTCAGTGAGGCGCGACACTAGGGCGCGGGGACTCGAACCCTTGCACGAGCTCGGTGTGGCGTTCCTCTCGACCGAGTGACTTGATCTAGGGCTCGATAATGATCGACTCATACTTAGAATAATTCTAAGTAAGGGTATGAGCACGACTAGGGCTCGAACAAGACTCGGGGCGGCTAGGGCTCGAGACTTGACTAGGCGCGAGACTCATGACCGAACGACTCGATTTCGGACACAGCTTGACTTGGACGTTTTGTCGAAACATACTCGGTTCCGATTATTCGTCAACTTGAATAATTAATCCCGACTGAATAAAATCCATTGCTAAAAAAATTAATGGACCGAAATTAATAACTGAAATTGAATAGTTGAATAACTGGGCTCGGAACTCAAGATGGGCAATATTAATAAAATGAAATAGTTCAATCAGAACTATAAACTACCACTTTTATTAATACAGAACTGGGCTATTACAATCTATCTCCCTTAAAAATATTTTCGTCCTCGGAAATACTAAAACTGGAGAATACATACAACAAAATACATATCAGAACTCAAAATATGAAAAACGAGCTGTAATATCCGCTTCGCGCTCCCAAGTGGCATCTGAATCTCCGTGGCGATTCCATCTGATACGAACGAGGGGAACATCTCGGTTCCTGAGCCGAAGAACCTTTCGGTCCAGAACTGCTACCGACTGCTTCTCGTAGGTCAAATCTGGCTGAAGCTGAATCTCATTGTGCTGAAGCACATGCTCGGGATCGCACACGTATGGGCGTAACATCGAAACGTGAAACACGTTATGCACGCTAGCCAACTCGGGAGGCAGGGCTACTCGATAGGCGACTTCGCCCACTCGCTTGAGAATCTCGAACGGGCCTATATAGCGAGGATGCAACTTCCCTCTCTTCCCGAAGCGAACGACACCTCTCATCGGTCGAACCTTCAAAAATACATGATCTCCGGGCTCAAAATTCATCTCTCGTCTATGCTTGTCGGCTGAGGACTTTTGCCGACTCTGGGCTGTCTTGAGCCTCTCTCTGATCCAGGCTACTTGCTCAACTGTCTCCTCGATCAACTTCGGACCGAGTACTCGTCGCTCTCCGACGTCATCCCAATAGAGGGTCGCTTGCGGCCGTAAAGTGCTTCGTAGGGGGCCATCTGAATCGACGCCTGATAACTGTTGTTGTAGGCAAACTCGACTAGTGGCAACCACTTCTCCCACTTAGCACCTCTGTCCAGAATTAGGGCTCAGAGCATATCCTCGAGCGTCTGGATCGTCTTCTCGGACTGGGCATCTGTCTCTGGATGGAAGCCGAACTGAACTTCAATTGAGTGCCCATTGCCTCATGCAAACTCTCCCAGAATCTGCTGGTGAATCTGGGATCTCGATCGGATATGATCGTAACGGGCACTCCGTGGAGTCGAATAGCACCACGGGTATATATCTCGGCCAACTGGTCTATCGACATGGTCATCGTCACAGGCATAAAGTGTGCGACTTTCGTCAGCCTGTCTACCACTACCCAGATTGCGTCGTGATGTTCGGACGACTTAGGTAGCCCTGTGACGAAGTCCATGGTAACCTCTTCCCACTTCCAACTGGGTATCTCAAGTGGCTGTAGCAGACCTATGGGACTTTTGTGCTCGGCCTTAACTTGCTGACAGACCAAACACTTCTTCACGAAGTCTTCTACATCTCTCTTCATCCCTCGCCACCAGAACGACCTTTTCAAGTCGTGGTACATCTTGGTACTCCCAGAGTGGGCTAGGTATGGCGCACTGTGGGCCTCAGTCAAGATTTCCTTGCGTAAGGTCCCGACCTTTGGCACGACAATACGGCCTCTGAACTCCAAGGCTCTATCTGTACCTCGGTAAAATCCCTCTATGCCTCCGGCGTGAACCTTCGCTTCTAGGGTGCGAATGAACTGATCCCAGGATTGCTCCCGCCGGATTTTATCTCTCAGCATGGGCTGAACTCGCATCGAGCTAACACTCTCCGAAATCTCCTTAGGAAGTGAGTCGACGACCTCAATCTGCATCCGGGCAAACTCTCTGAAAAGTTGACGCTGATCGGTGATAGAACAAGCTAACTCACCCCTCACCTTTCGGCTTAGGGCGTCTGCTACCACATTCGCCTTCGCTGGATGGTACTGTATGGTGTAGTCATAATCCTTCACAAGCTCCGACCATCGCCTCTGGTGCATGTTGAGCTCCTTCTGTGTGAAGATATACTGCAAACTCTTGTTTTCGGTAAAGATCTCGCACCGACCACCATACAGATAATGGCGCCAAATCTTGAGTGCATGCACAATCGTTGCCAACTCTAGGTCATACGTAGGGTAATTCTGCTCAGGGGGCTTCAACTAACGTGAAGCATATGCAACAACTTGGCCATCTTTCATAAGCACACACCCAAGACCCTGCTTCGAAGCATCACTATAGATGGTGAAACCTCGAGTAGGATCCGGAATAGTCAGCACTGGAGCCGTCGTAAGCCTCTCCTTGAGCTCCTGAAAGCTCTCTTCACAACGACTCATTCACTCAAACTTCACAGATTTCCTCGTCAACTTGGACAAGGGGAGGGCAATTTTTGAGAAACCCTCAATAAACCTGCGAAAGTACCCTGCTAGACCGAGAAAACTCCGAACCTCGGTGGGACTTCTGGGCGCTGACCAGTTCCGAACCGCGGTAATCTTTGCTGGATCGACCTCTATGCTTCTCTCGGTGATGATGTGGCCTAAGAATTCCACTCTCTTCAGCCAAAATTCACACTTGGAGAACTTGGCGTACTTTTCTCGCCTAAGGGTCCCGAGAACAACCCTCAGATGCTGCTCATGCTCCTCCAAACTTCTGGAGTAGACCAAAATGTCATCAATGAAGACGATAACAAACTGGTCTAAGAACTGATGGAATACACTGTTCATCAAGTCCATGAACACCGTGGGTGCATTACTCAGGCCAAACGGCATAACCTTGAACTCGTAATGACCGTATCTCCTCCGGAGAGCCGTGTTGGCTACATCAGACTCTTTAATCTTCAGTTGATGTTAGCCGGAGTATAAATCGATCTTTGAAAATACGCAAGCTCCTCTCAGCTGGTCGAACAAATCGTCTATCCTGGGGAGCGGATACTTATTCTTCACCTTTAACCGGTCGAGATCCCGGTAATCGATGCACATCCTGACAAGTTGGATCGGTGCTCCCCAAGATGAGACGCTCGGTCGGAAGAAACCGAGTTTCAACAATTCCTCGATCTACGTCTTCAAGCTCCTGCAACTCCTTTGGTGACATCCTGCACGATGCCTTCGATACCGGTCTTACTCCTGGAATAATGCCAATGGTGAACTCCACTTGTCTGTTGGGGGGGTCCTCTGGATAATCGATCCGGAAACACATCTACAACTTGCGCATTCTGGGTATGCCCCTAGAGATGCGATACCTCCTTTCTGAGAGCATATAACTCTTGCTCTTCCAAACTCTCCTCAGTGCCAATAGTCGCTCCACTAATCACTGGAACTGGTTCACAACTACAGCCTTTCCCCGCTTTGCGAGTGGGTTTGGAGCTATATGGGACGACATTCTAGAAAGCCATCAACCTCTGGACTAAGGCAGTATGACCACTAAGAAATAGCCATACCCGACTTAAGGAATATGATATTATTTTCCGTAAACACCTAGCTTGGCTAGAGTTCCGGTTACACTTGCTCTTTTGCGCTTCTGGTAGCAAATAAGTACTTCTGACCTCTAGAAGGGTCAACTAGTACTTAGTGAGTGGCTTAATTCGATCTAAGAAATCGAATATCTTGATGGCCAACTCTTCCTCACTTGCTTCTGATGAATCTAGAAAGAAAACTAGTTCCCTTCTATGGCTATGCCGCTGACTATACGGCTGAACTCTCTAATGGGTTCGAATTAACGATCACTAAACTCGAAGTGATCATTTCTCTGTTGGGTAGCTAACT